AAATTCAAATTTTCTAAATATAATTGCAAAATTAGGTCCTTCCCCAAGTGAGTTCTGGGGATCTAACGTCCCAAAAAGTTTGACTCCATTTTATCTGTTAGTATTGCTACCATCAGTATTATTATTTATCTTACTTTCAACGTCATTTGTTGGTTTGACGATGAAAAATTTAACAGATAATTTTAGGTTTTTTCATTTTTGTTCGTCATATCTTTCACATCTTCCATTTCTCCAATGAATGATTCTTTTTTTCATGCTACCGTTTTGTGCATTAAGACGAATTTTATGTAATACTGTTATTTAGAAAAACAACATAAGTTTACGCAATCATTTCATGAATCACAGGACCTTATAATTTTTTTTACAATTCATAAGGAAATTTCGTTTGCGACAAACTTGTTCTCAGAAAAACAACAATTACAAGACGGATGTTACTTGGTATTTTTGTTCAGTGCTTCCTCAAAAACTACTTTCAAAGAACATTAACCCACCGTAACAATACTGGCGAGACTCTAATTTAGGGACGAGCCAGTCAGAAGCGTTTGAGCAATTTCAATTATTAACCAATCAGAAGACAGTATAAAGTAAAAATATATTATAAGAAAGTAATGAAGTACAGCAGACATTCTTCTTTTACATGATTTAAAAACTTGTTAAGGTTTGATAAAGGTTCAGAAGTCCTGAGTTCATAATGCACATGGTATAGAAACTCGTCCATAGGGTTAGGGTTTAGGGTTAGGTTTGTAGCCTAGGGTTATGGTTAGGGTTGTAGCCTCTCGATAAACACCTCTTCTCTAAAATCCGTTGTAAACCGATGGTATGTTAGCACCCTAACCCTAACGCTAACCTAACCCTAAACCCTAACCCTATGGACGAGTTTCTATACCATATGCATTATGAATTCAGAACCTCTGAACCTTTATCAAACCTTAACAGGTTTTTAAATCATGTAAAAGAAGAATATCCACCGTAATTCATTACATTCTTATATTTTCACTTTATACTGTCTTCTGATTGGTTATTAACTGTCAAGGTCATTTAAGATTCGTTCAAAGGTCGTCCCTAAATTAGAGTTTCGCCACAATACTATATCTAAATTCCCTTGATATTGTTTACTTGAATCTTCCCATTGATGTTTAGGACTACAATTGATCAGTTTCTTATTGGCATATGTGCATACTGTGAGTATGCCTCGATATTGCCTTAATTCACAAGCATTATAAGCAATAATTGATAGTGGCTAGCAGTGGAACCCAGGACACGCGTTTCGTCCTAGTTGGGGCTCGTCAGCTGAACGTACATGCATCTCAGAGTTGATGTTCACTCTAGGACATTGCAATCAACACAATACGATGAATCGGATGAGTGTGCATAACTTCTCACCATGTTACTGTATGCAATTTATTTGTTATGTGGTTATCTCATATCTGGTAGTGTTTGACGTGGTAATTGAAAGTGATGACGACAGCATTGGTGACGTTGTTATTCCTCCAAACATTTTTGGAATGTCTTCCATATACTTTGTATTGTCGATTACTATGTTAAGCCCACATAACTTATTCTAGCTTCTGGACAGGTCAATTTATCAATTCTTGATGAGTCATAATTTTGACCTTGCTAATTGTTTGCTTATCAACCTTGACTGTTTTAACGCAAGCATATGTGTGTGCGTTTATTATCCCATTCATCACATGTCTGTAACGTACTTTTGTGTGACTATAAATATCGATTAATGCTTGGTTGAAAAAGAGTTGGCTCACATGCTTTTCCCACCGCCCATCATTTCGTTTTGCTCCGTTCCTTTGATCGTCTGCCTGGATTAATGATCGTACAAAATATACGTATTCGAAATCCTCTCTCGTATTTGACTTATTTTAATTCCAATATTCACTAACGTGAGTTAATTCCATGATAATATACGAGGATTAACGATGTGTTGATCTCAATATCAATCATTCGTACGATCCAAGTGGAGACAAATATATGTCCCACAAAAGTGGTGAGCCCGTCGATTACATCGTCTGATCTAATTGACGTCAAAATGAAGAGCCCCACTGAAGCTTTCGTGGATTCACTTTGTAAAGAAGAGTAAGAAATGTAAGGGTTGTTATAGAATGTTTTGTTTTCAGTGAGATAAATAATGTGATCATTTAAAACTTCGCGATCATATTCACCCATTGACATATTTTCTGAGGTTAAACGACGTTTCAACCTACTGTTACTTATGTTTAAATAACATCACTTATAATTAGGTTATTATTGATATTGCTATCGAATAAAAGGGATTTTATTAAGCTTCTTTAAAATAGTGTACAAGTGTACATTGATGAATATTTACATCATGTGTATAAACTGTATTATAAGAAAATAATTATTATAATAATGTATGTATTACGTCCGTGAACAGGAAATTGATCCTGTAACATTTTGCAGCTTAGTGTAAATTAAGTTTTAGACAGTAAATAATAAAATCTAACTAAGGCAAGTCTAAATAGTAGAAAACAGCAAATCAGAATACTTAATACAGTCGAAATAATGTTGATTTTTGTGATGTTATATCATTTAGTTAAAACTTCAGTCAGTCAGTTACAACGTAGGACCAGGCATACATGTGCGGCGGACCAAGTTGTCACACCTCATTAGCACAGCAGGACGAACACCGGACTCATAGGAGTTTACTCAATGGTGTAATACATAAAGATAAGATTGCATATAAGGATATAGTACAGGAAGAAAGAGTTAGTTCGTAGAAAGAAAGATATAAAATAATTTTCGTCTCATAGTTTAAGGGAAAACAAAGAGTGTATTTGCCTACGCGATTGTGATCGATTCTTAGCCATGTCACCAAGAATCTCCAACCATTGGTTAAGATAGTTACTTAGACCCCAACTAAGTAGTCTGCATCTACCAACGTGGTTCAGACTAGAAGTTAGTGACTTCAAGCACTGATACCATGTTTTGGTTTGTCCGCCACCAACTGTCTTCCAACTATCACCAACACTAAACAGCATCGCGCGTCGTGGTAAACGGTGTTCAGGCATACGCAACACGTAAGGTAACAATTATTGTATATATTCTGTTATGATGAACAGCCAACCTGAAGCTCAATTTATTCGAAATTATCAAATCAAACCTTAGTAATGATATTTACTGATTCATTGTAGATACTGATGAATCATGACACTTTATTACGATTAATAATCAATTATTATTTTTAGTTACAAAGTTATTCTAGTGTATAATAATTGTAGAACTGTTGAAAAACCTAGTTCATTTTCACCTGTTTATATGACATTTTCTTATTTATGTACAATAATCTGTGACTGCCTACAATCTAAATAAGTCTAAAATACTATTAAAACTATTTAAAGTACAATTATCATAATAAAAAGTCAAATCAACAAATCTGATTTTTCAGTTTTATCACTGTATGAACAATTCAATAAGCATAAATTTCGATCAATTTAGAGTTAAATCCCGTCACATGGTAACTGATAGATTTTTGTCATAAAAAATAATAGTTTTGTTGGTTTATTTATAAAACACAAACAAACAGGAAATTATATTTTACGGACATCAATAAAAAAATTATTCAGTTTAATGTTAGTTCTTATCATGGTCTAATATAAAATGAACTGTCATTAAAAATCAGAATGGACAAACATAGTGATCATTGTTTGTACGTAATTATGCTAAACATTTAATAGACTTAAAACTTTATTACATATATTAATCCAGTTTAAAAATCTTATCAACAAAATAAGTTCTCAATACAGTTTAGTCTTAAAATCCACAAGTTTTACAATCGGCAAACTAAAACACTTATTAGCGCTTAAAAATAAATGAACAATATATAAACTAAAGAACTTCTTTTTTTATCAATTCTCCATTTCTTATGGTAATTCAGTAATGATTTGTAGCGTAAAACATATGTTGTGATTTGCCATGAGTTCATATAATTTCCTTAAAATTATCCCTGATTATTCAATATATATTCGGTGATTTTTAATTTATCTAACTCAATGTTCAATAAAACGTTATGGTAATAAATATACTTACATAAATGATTTATTTCATGCAGATGTACATTTAATCATTATAATGAATGCAAATTAATTTCGAGATCAGAATATACAGTTTGATACAATGTGATTTTTTACAATCTAACTTAATTGGCATCATGTATCACCTGCATGATCTGTCTAATAATTTACCGAACAAAACAACTAAAGCTTTTGGTGAAAATTGATAAATCTCGGAAAATTAATGAATTACTAAGTACTGTAAAGATGATGTACTGATGAAAACAGATCTTTCAAGTAGATGAGTTTTATTTAGGACTATAAAGACTGTAAAGATGCTCCAAGACTAGAACGACTATCAATACCTTGTACTAACGAAAACGCAGAATTTGTCTTATTTTATGTAATTTCCGATCGCTGATTCATTGCATGAATGATTACTCTCAAACTAAATCTGAGAGAATTTTTTCTTCATTTAACTCTAACAAAATGTGAGTTGACAAGATGGATGAAAAATTTGAGTTCTAAGAAATTCTAGGTATATTTTAACCAATAGTATAAAGATGGAACAGATGTACGGCCACAAACAAGTAGTATTTTGAAGAGTTTAAGCTGAACTTTTCATTACTTCAGTTCGTGTAATTATTGGACAGTCTAGTGATAAAATAGATTTCAATCAATTGTGATGTCTGGATAAACTATCATTGAATATTGCAGACTAATTAAGATTAGTATTTTTCCTGCAAAATATACCCGACTTGTTTATAAAAAGGAGTTAAATCTAGATAACTACATCGATTCACATAAATTCGAAACTCTTAGAATAAAATGATTGAATGTCCCAGCTTAAATTATCACTAAAAGGAGAACACTTACTTTTCACGACAACTACATAACCCACAATCAATTTGTTCTTTCAAATATATACCTTAATTAAAATTACTCAAAAACCAGATAATCAAATTACAAGCAACCTACCTATCAAGTCACTTATGATGTTCACTGGAAAATTTAACAATGAGTGTAACATCACAACAAATCCGATTGAAATGATATAATAATATGTGATGTGTTTCATAATCATATTTCTACAAACAGATATCATAATAGAAATATGTAACATCCATGTAACTATCATTGTAAGTAAAACAACTGTTATACCTAACCATAATGTCCAATTTGTACTTTCTAACTTATTAGCCATTACATAATTCGACAATTTTTGATCATTAATAATAAGAATTGGGTTCATTATATAACCATCATTTATACTGCTATAGTTATTATAAGTTACTTTTTCAACAAAGATCATTTCATATTACAAATTATAAAAGGAAAATGCGAAAATTGTCAAATTTGACTAAATTATTTGATGACCATATTGTTTATATTTCGAAAAAGAGTTTGTATAATTCACTGATTCGTAATAAGGGAATAATAATCTTGACATCAGATTCAAACAAATGAATTTTTAAGTATTTTGTATTGAGTATTAACCAAATAAAAATTACACTTATTTTAATGGATGGAAAAACCTGAGAGTAGACCAATAGAAAACTGGCTTCAAGGTCACGTGTTAAACCCAATAGGAAAATTCTATTTGCTTTTACGAGGAAGTAAATCATTTGTACCTACATGACACATAATGTAGTAGTTTCTAAAAAAAAGGGCTTACCAACCACCATCATGTGAATAAATATCCTTGGACAATCTGTATAATGTATCTTAGAGTCTAAACTGCGTAGAAATTTCCAATAATGAGCAGAGATTTTAATTACACATAAATGTTATATCTAAATTGTTTTGATGAAAAATTGTGCGCTGTCTATGTATCACGTATGTGTGTATGTACTACAAATTTTTTTTCCCACCAGTAAGCTATAGACATTTATTCTCATAGAAAATGTTGAACTTCCCAATAAATGGTTGCAGTATCGAAATACTGAATCTTATAGGTAAGTTGTCATAACATAACTAAGTAGGTGATGACTGTAAATATTTTTTTCCGAAATTCATTTACTCATTATCAAAGTACCTATAGTATATTATTCATTAACGCAATCCCATTTATCGATTATTTCAATTAGTGAAGAAGACAAAAGTCATTCAAATTGGTGATATTTCTGGGCACTAATCGTATGTTAAACGATTTTATACCTACTATTCTGTTTAATAAATACTCAAAGTGAAGTGCAAAAAGGTTCATTTTGCAAACTTCCAATGTATACTGTTTTAATTCCTTCAGTATAATATTTATTTGTCTTGTTTCCCTTTAAATTATTCAAAACCATTCTTAAAATCTTCAGGCGTCATAGTCTTCAGCTATTTCGTCCTACCACTTGCCATCATATCCGAATCATCCCAGTTCAACCATTACATGACTATTTTGCACTTTTGGGACAAAAATGAATGACGGAATGCTAGATCCAGTTTTAAAGCTGTATAATCTATCGTAGTGATCGAAATATAGTAAAATTTGTATATATATATATATATATATATATATAATCTCTCCTGTATAATATTGTGTGGGCAGATCAAGAGAGTAAAAAATGTCTAGCCTAGGTAAAGTTATCTGAAATCATTACTGTTCTGGAACAATAGATAGTTGCGCAGATAAACTGAAACTTCCTTTCCAGTCCTCTCCTTCGTTAAGTGTACACTGTTAAAGAACAGGGCAGTGTGTTTCAAGTTTTTGGAACAACCAGTCAGTTGAACTATCCACTATCCTAATCTAGTGTCCAAATTGTGCTAATGAAATAGTCTTTGACCCCAAAAATTGTATTACTGAAACCAGATTAGTGATAATAGCTCGGAATATTTGTTAGATGCATCTTATGCTTCCAACTCAATAGCAGTCCATATTCATCAGATTCTGCTGTTTAAACGTATGCTTTTAATATCTCACGTTTAGGCTACCTACTTTATTAATGGTACGCACAATCCATTGGGTAACAAGGGAATGTATAGAGACTAAATAAACCGTATTTATAAGCAAAACGATACAAAAAGATTGTAGAGAAATAGTGCGTGTTCTAAATGCGGGTCACTAACTTTGTAGAGCTAGTATCCTCTATATCTGACTCCTGTAAATAGTATCCCATTAACTGAGTATTTAATACAGGCTAAATCTCCTAGTAGAATTATGGACTTACTCGAGATTATTCAAAAGCCTGAATACCAGTTATAGAGATAGTTTATTGTTAAAGATTGGTAAAATCCGCAAGCGTACAGGAAGCAAGCACACAGGGAAACCAAGAGTGTGTGTGTTAAAAATCCATATATATTTATGAGTGCTAACCAAGTATGGATAAATTATTGATTATCTGTGTATTACGACCAATGGGAGAATAGATTAAAGATTGGTGTGCAGAAGTGTGCTCAATCAGATTCGCACAGAAAACTACATGATGGATTAAGTGTTTAAATTACAGTGTGCAGATAAATAATACAGTAGTGGAATAGGCTTAATACAAGATGCATGTAACTGAACACGCATTTTTAAGTGTAACTACTGACCATTTATACTTTCAAGAGGATAGACACAGATAGTCTTGAACACAACGCCGTACCATATTTGGTTGCAATGGTAGCTGAAGTCGATTCGCTTACATCAACGTGTTAAGGGTGATTAGTTCCTAATTTGTATAATCCATGATGGGTTCGCCACTTACTACAAGATATTCAGAATCCAGATAGGTACCTGAAAGAGAGCAGCATTATCTCCCACAACCTCAACATCAACAACAGATTGCGGTATGATCTATTTGATTACAAGCTTGAGGGATGATTTTTGTACCTGTGGCTTGTTCAATCTGAGATCGGCAAGTTCTCATAGGTCATCCACACAATGAGCTTTCACTGAGGTCATTTAGTTGGCGACAGAAATAATTAAATGTTACATCTTTACGTCAGCCGGTTGAACCATAGGTATAAATAACGAAACGACAGCTTTCCCCACCCCACTTCAAACTTTGGAAAAACCTTACAATACAAAAGCATACATATGACAGTTCATGAAGATCTAATCGACTACTGTGTTGTCTCCATCCTGGCACTTGGCAGTTAGGTCAAGGACTGAGAATACACGGTCTTCGGTAAATATACGTGATGCGTACATCCCGAACCAACATGCTGGAGAAATATTTTCTTGTTCTTAGCTTTTTATAAATCCTGACACACTAGTAATTATCATGAAGTATGTAAAGGCTAAGATCACCTCATCCTCAAAACTGACAACTTTTATACCTAGTGAATAAACAATCAACTTGAATTGTACAGTTTATACTCTTCAGACCGTTTAGTCAATGAAATACATTCAATAGATAATAAGAATGTGAAGCGGTTAAGCAGTATCGTTAAATATTTTCCCCCTGTCAACCATTCTTTGAGGAATGTATCAGATAATGAATTTTTTAAACTTATAATCCCTTGTGTAATACACAAAAAACAGATGCACGTTATTCTGTTAAAGTTATTTTCGGAAAAGTCGGAAAGTCCAAAAGACATGTCAAAACTTTCAGTGAACTAATTATTTACCAGAAAGCATCGCTTAATTCTCATCATTACTTCTCGATACTCCTTTTCATTGTAATTCAGTTTACTTTCTTTAAAATTGTTTACTTTAAACTAATTTATAAGTAGAAAAATAAGCGGAACAAATTTGTGTTCTAGAGGGGTTGAAGATTTTTGATGATGAACATATTTAGGGTTGTCAACATGATAATAAGGGGCGAAATGCTGATCGATAGACTAAAAGATCTTAGCTTATTTCACACCTACGTGTTTATCCTAACTTTTGGACAGATGAGTCATCATAATTTTCCAGTCATTCTGTCATTTATGCCCTTGAGCATGCGTGTATGGTAGTATGTATGTATCTATACTCCTGCTTGTGTCTTACAGTGAGCCACATGTTATGTTCAATTATATTGAATAGGATTTTATTCCTTCTCTGATCCTTATAGCTTATCGTCCGTATGCATTAATGAACGTCGGAAATTACTTTCGTATTCGACTTTTAATTTAACGTTGTCCTAAGTGTTAAGTCGACAGAGCACATAAAAAGTCAACTAAGATAAATATTTCATTGGTGCCAATATCTTGTGTAGAAAATTGTTTATAAATAATTGTACTTTTTGATGGTGGTTGTGGTAGTTCTCCAAGTTACACCTTCGCACAATAGAACTGTCTTGATATTCGTATTGACGATTCTGACAATAGATATTGGCTTTTGGATAATTGTTTTGAGTTCCATATGTTCTTCAACCGTACGAATGCTGCCCTTGCTTTGCCAATTCTTGCCCTTACGTCTGTATGAGATCCTCCTTATTCATCGATGTTGCTGCCCAGGTACGTGAAAGTTTCCACATCTTTTAGAGCTTCCTCGTCACATGAACTGATGGCAAAAGACAGACGCGACTGGGAAACATAAGTTTATATACTCTAGTGAAATGATAGGCTTATTATGTACAAAGCGACGAATGCGAAAACAAACACAATCAGTCCTTCGAAATCTGAATGATTTGAAAAGACGGGTTCTATTATAGATTACTCAAGTGTTAGTGAAATTAAGACCTGATTCTCCAACTTATTTCCACTGTATCAGTTAGTATTGTTTATTAATCCTTTTCCCACTACGCTCATAGACATAAATAAAATTTGTAAAATGTACTTTAACATCTATAAAATGAAAAAAACGATTTGTTTAATAAAAGGATAGAAATTCGTATAAGCTTGAGTTGTTTATATCATTTCTGTTGGTGTTCGACACAATGTTAGGATTTTGTAAATTGATATTATCAGAATTACTTTATATTTGTTTGCCTTCTTGTAGGTTACTTATATGATAGGAATATACAAACATATTTGGTCAATGAAGTACTCTTATTTTCATGTTTACTAAAATGTCATAGTTTGTGTATCCAGTTTAACCGTAGACCAATTTAGTAGTCTCATATTACCTACTCCAAAAGTGTGCTTTTCGGTTGTTTTAAAAAAGTATTTAAATATCCAATTGTAACTGACGCCAATGTGAGTTTTTTTTAACTAAATTAAATACAGGAAACTATCGGAGTTTGATTTAAAATCAAAGACGGGATGTAATGTAAGTCTGCTAACGGATTTAATATCACGACCCAACAAACATAGGTCTTCCATAATAAATTACCATTTTTCAAACAAAATATAGAAACTAATCATTTGAAAGTTTACCACTCGTTTGTCGTGAATCTGCTATACTACACAAAGTTATTCATCTATACAGATACATAAATAATGACCTACTGTTAATCAATAAAATAAGGTTAATAGTTCACATTTTTACTTGTTCTGCAGTAAAATATAACAACTTATAAGTATACTATTGTGAACCGCGGGGTGGCTACTCTAAATTCTACCGATTGACCAACTTCAAATATCCCAGTACGACCCCAATACTGTTCCACGATCTCCAATATGTCAGAACACGAACCATTAGAAAGAAATTGTTTGTGGTGTCAGGAGAAGAAGAATAAGAATTTACAGATAGATGCATATTTGTACAGTTAGGACTACCGTGAATATTGACAACAGGGAAATGACACGCGAAATAAATATTGACCAATAGGGAAATGACACGTGAAATAAATATTGATCAATAGGAAAATGACACGATTTCACGTTCAAGGATAGTACTTAACAGGATAATTTTGGGGATATTTTTCTGAATATTCCAACATATACCATCCTCGATACTGGTTTATTAGTATTTTACAAAATAGAAGCAAACAATATGACATGAAGTGAGCTTACTTTGATATGTTGTAAACTATATGAGAGTAGTTTAAACTCATTATGTTGCATAACACTATCCAACATCTCGAGTGGAGTAGAACTGAGCAAACTGTTTGTAAATAATATAAGAACTATCTAAATCTGTTGAACAAACAAGTTTTCGGATGAATCTAGAAAAGTATTTGATGGAATTTTCTGATATTTATTTTTTTTAAAAAACTAAATTTCAAAGCCTTATATGAAGATTGCAAATTTTATGATGATGCTTTTATCGTATGTGACAACTGGGACCATGAAGACTAATTTCTAATTTCTAATTTCAGTACAACTAAAAACATCATTTACAGGATAGAACAACTTTTGTGGATCACAAGAAATGAGGATGATTCACTTTAACGTCCTATTTACCATAAATCTTCCAAGGCTCATCATTATCTCCATTTCAATACTTTGGCCCAATGTCCTACAATACAAGTCTTATTAAAACATTGTTTTTATGAGCAACTAAACTACGCTCTAATACAAATACACTGATCAGCGTGTATACCGATCTCTCACAGCTAAAAAAAAAAACTTTATCAGCTGCCTATTTTATTGCATTATTTGCCTTTTTTAGATCAACCATTTTTTACTCCTCAATATTTGTGAATAGTAAATTGTGTATATGTTCCCTATTGTTGTATTAAGAAACTTTGTGACAATGCCTTCAGCTACCTGACAATATCGTATGATATAATAAGTACACACCATAGAAAAACAAACCATATGTAGTTATGTAATCAGAAACTCGTAACCTTCACTGCATCAAGTAGTTGGACTAACAACAAATTTAAAGTCTATTATTGAGAGCCTAATTGAATGGGATAACGAGTTATAAAATATATTCAATCGCTCAAGTTAAAACCAACATAAACCATTATAAATGCAATTTATTTCGAATAAATGATGAAATGAATAAATAAGAGAATTTAACGGGGAAAATTAACAAGAACTGTACAATTATATTTATCGTTAATTTGTTTATTAAACGTAATGGTCTATATTAAAATAGAAAGTTTTCTCCGAAATAATAAATTAACGAAACTTTACAAGAAAAACATCCCATCAGTTTGTGATATGTGAACTTTGAAGCGATCATAACCATCAAGCAAAACACTTGCTTCGTTCGTGTTTGATAGCCAATCTCGTGCACGAAACGCAGCTAAATGAGAATAATACACCGGAGCAGGGTAAGAGACACTACGAGAGCACCGCATATAAGCATAACATAAGTGGTACGTAAACATTTGAAGAGCGTCCGATGTAAAGTTACTGTCATCATATAATACATGATAGTGGGACGGTTTTGATGTTCCCTGGAAGAAATAATCATCAACAAAGAGAAACCAGTTACCTGAATCCCTTCATGAGAACAAATATAGAAATCGAACTCTCTACGATGAGTAATATCTGTATCCACGACAGTCCCTGGTTCCACATTCCGTGCTCTGTCAAAATGAAAATGCGAGATATGGTCTTGAAGAAACATCTAACATGTCTGAAAATAAAAACTGTATCGAATATCTAAACATTTCATCATAGCTACGAGCAGTAAAATTTCGTCTAATTACCTGGGATCATGTGGTTTGAAACGGATATGGTGTCGCTTCTGGACAACGATAAATGTAATAGCAGGTTCTTCACCAGGACGAATATCAGTGCAAGCTTTTTGAATGGCAGACAACTCCTCGACCAAAACATTTTCAAACTGACCCTCTGAGACACCGTCGCGATAGAATATAATACGTTTAGGAAAACCTCCCTTCGTATTCCGCAAATATAGCTATAGTATAAATATAAATGTTCCCGAATTATAATGTTGTTGCGAAAGAAATAAAGAAGTAGAGAAAAATAATACTTCACAGTAGTAACAGAGAGTACATAGCATTGAATTTAAAGGGACTAACCGTGAGCAGTTCTCCAACTGACAGATGCAAGTTATCAATAATTTCTCTTGTTGTTTTGTTTCCTCGCTCAGTAGTTGCTTGTTGTCTAACTACAGCCCCGTATCGCATTAACTCAGGACTGACAGATCCAACAACAGCAGCAACTGACTTGAGAACCTGATGAGATTGTGTCGGTGCTGGATGAGTAACATCAGCACCGAAAACCATTATTAAATCCTGACTGTTCTCGATAAGATCTGGGACAATCCAATTAACACCACCAAGTTTCCCATTGAGTTTCAATAATAGGTTGGCTAAAACAAAACAGACTGAATTAGTCCATTCGTTTTAAAAATTGAAACAAACGAATATGAATGAATGAAAGATACTTACGAAACACATTAGGTTTGCGTAGAGTGCTACCACGAACACATTGTGTGCGGATACCCATTCTCAAGTCACTTAAACGTTTGATTGTTCCGTAAGCCAAATCATCGTACAGAATCAACAGAATGAAGTTACAACCCTGGAAAAATTCGAATTTGTTAGTAACTGCTACAGAAATCAAAACCAACTCCCTGAAATTAGGTTCACTTACTTGTCGATGAAATTCCTCAAACTTTTTTTCAAGTTGGTTAAGGGAGCATTGTGATATAAATGGTTTATTGCTGAAGGAAACACCGAAACGGTTAGCGGCCTTCGGTAATTCGTCTGTGACTTTTTCCACGTCGCCTCTAGATCGCTACAATAAAAATCAAGAACAAAATATTTACAAAGAGATTGAAAAAAAGCATAAAAAGAATTACACACTGATGAAGTAACGGGGTCATATATACTTCAAGCAATAATGTTTTCTAGTCAGTTTCCATGTAACTGTCATCAAAACGACAAGGCAAGGCCATCGCTTTTTTAAAAGAGTTTCTTTAACATTTTGACGTGGTTAAATGAAAAATTCTCCCCTCAACAAACATTATTTCGCTGTTAATGAGAAGTGATTGTTTGATGTTCACATTCGTTTTACTTCAATAAGGAAACAACAATCCATATGTGTTTATAAGGTACTTTCTACGCACACTACTTGGTCGGAAAGTAGTCAGTCAGCTACAATGTAGAACCAGGCACATATATGCATCGGTCCAAGTTGCCATATCTCATTAGCACAACAAGATGAACATCGAATCCATAGAAGTTGTTAATTCAATGGCGGTAGTATATAAAAGAAATATTGCATATAAGGATATAGTACACGAAGAAAAAAAGATATAAAGCAATTTTAATACAATTGTGTCATGTCCCGATAAGCATAATGAATGGTAACTTTTGGGATCCATTTATGGACAAATACTATGCATATATTTTTATCGTATGATTGTTAAATAACTAAACTATATATATCCATGTCCCTCTTATTATGAGCCTTATTTGACCTATGAACTATTATTGTACAACTTACCATTCTTGAATTATGCCCTGTCTATTAATTACTACCTCCCACACTCACAGCCACTTTCAGCTAAATCTTGTACAAATGTTGTTTCCTATTTTATGGTACGATGTGGTCTGTCTGGTTGGTATATAAAACCAGTATGTTTGAAATAAACGATTTATATTGCAGAGGCTGAGATTGGTGTTCTGGACCTAACTGGCTGGACTAGGCAGGAATCAGGACCGATAAGGACTCTAGACTGATCGTACGGGTTTACGCGTCATTGCTCCGATCGATAATTCACTGCTCTCTAATTGGCGGTGTCGTTACGTTATACATTAACAGAGCGCACAGGTCACAAGTTATAACAAACAGTTAAAGGGAAGACAGAGTTTATACACCGACGCCATTGTGATCGATTCTGAGCCATGTCAACAAGAGGCTCCAATCATTGGTTACGATAGTCGCGCAGACCCAAAGCAAGTAGTCTACATCTACCAACATGGCTAAGACTAGAAGTTAGTTACTTCAAGGACTGAGGCCATGTTTTGGTTTGGCCGCTCCTAACTTTCTTCCAACACTAGTCAGCATTGCGCGTCGTGGTAAGCGGTGTTCATGCATACCTGACACGTGACCCAATGATCTCAGTAGATGAAAATTCACAACCACGTCAATTTATTTACCATCATCCCCTAATACCCTGTGTCTAACCTCACTATTACTTACACGGTGATCCCAGCAGATGTGAGTAATATTTCTAAGTCGCTTACGGGTATCTTCTACTCTTAATGGCCACGTTTCGCAGCCGTAAAGTAGAACATAACGAAGTGCTGCGCAGTATACTCGTCCCTTAATTGATAGACGAATATCTCGCCTTCACTATAGGTGACGTAAGTTGGCAAAAGTCAAATGAGCATTTTGAATCCATGATGAGATTTTGTCAGACAACCCATTAGGGCTGATCAGACTTCCGAGATAAGTGAAGTTGTCGACGCGTTAGACCACTTTACTCCCTATCCTTAGTTGAAAAGTAGTAGTAAACAATGTCACGTTGTCTAGTCTTTAATAATTTCCCAGAATTCGACAGGTCGGTGACCGATCGAAATGCAATCCAACTACTAGATTTCTATTTAACATTGCAATATGTTTATTTGATATTAAGCGGTTGAACTGAAAAGTAGTATAATATCATAGTTATCTTGATCGTTTCTATACAAGTGCTGTCAAGTGACTATTCCTTCATACATACATTCTCACTGTTGTTTTAAATCATATTCCCAAGCTTAAGTCTTTTTGCATTATTTTTACTACATTATTTCATTCGTCATGCCAATCAGGCATGGCAACATAGGCAAAAACACATCCATTCGAAACTCTATGTTCGAGATGTCCATCTAACTATTTTACAGTGATCCAATACTGATTCTTATTAGTTGGTGATATCTAATTTTGACAAGCTACTTGAGATCCTATACAATACTGTCATTTAGAATCTTACACTATCATCTAATGTTCATTATATCCGTGTTGGCCGTTTATTGTTATGAAGAAGATTCATTTATTTAGAAACCTAAACCTTGTAATCATCAGTCGGCAATTATTTCAATACGTTACCGAACACCAATAGCATCAACAACGAACAAATCACCCATAAAACTTAAAAATATCACTACAATAAGGAAAACCAAAATCTCAAACATACTGGGTTGTTTGGAACACAAAGTATTCCCCATGGAATTGCAACACCACGTTTAGCCGGTTCATGAAAATCTGGAGTATTCCAACTTCCAGCCTTCAGTTGGATTTTATCTGGACGATTAAAAACTGCTTTAGGTGGCTGGAGTACACGTGACTTTACATCTACAGGTTTGTTTGCTATCTTTACTTGAAACAACTGGAATAGTCGATGTGCCCTTAAGATAGAAATAAATAGACATAATTAAGTTAATTTGAGAAACACCACTGTCAAGATTTATGGTACCCAGTGACTGATAAACAAAATTTTATTCGTCTACTCATTTGTGTTACTCAACGATCTTGTTCAAGTACTTTAAAAAATACACCGAAAGCAAACAACAACCCACACGAATTTCCATGAATATTTAGCTCATGCTACTTGTCTACGGGAAAATCTTTACAAAAGTCGACTATTTTTGGGACTCTTTAGATGCCCACATCCAAATTCGAATCACATACTTATGTAAATTACAAACTTGAAAAAGTAGCTAACAGCACTGTATCCAAACAGCCAGCTAAGCACAGCACATACGACCCTCGAGTCATTTACACGAAGGCCTAGACTTAAACCTGGCCGATAGAATTCAGTCAGCACTAAACAGCTAGACAGAGATGACACTATTTAATACTCAGTGATAAGTCAGTATAAGTGTCTCAATCCAACAGAAAGTCAGTGGTAACGCACCAGAATGAGAATCACGTAGGACTGATTAATCTTCTCAATATTGGAAGTAGGTCTTGATGATAAGCGCCGAAACACAAATCAAGGGTTTCATCTCCAGTAGACTAAACTTCGTAAATCACCTCCCAAAAGTTTTCATCTCCTCCCACATTACCCACATTTGGAATTCGCATTTCTGGAGAAGCACTACTAAGTTGTGTTGAATTGGAAAATGACTTTTTAATTAAGATATAATGGGGCCTACAATTCAGTTTGTTAGTAACCAATCGCACATCACATCTAACGCTTTAACTGATAAGGAAAACGAGATAGAACATATTCAAAACTTTAACGCATTATTATCATTTACCGTGCAAATAAAATCGAAATACAGAAATACAGTTACTTTGAAATCGAATTAGTGAAATCCATAAGTTCTCGAAAACGTTCTTGAGGACGTACTGCTGCACAACGGATAACCTCACTAGCCACATCAGCCTTGCTCGCGTTAGGTGCTTGAAAAGGAAGAATATTTAGTAATTCCATCGGCATATAAACCTCTCGTTTTTGATCAACCTAAGGAATGAAACACTAAATGCACATTACCTTTATGCACGGAAGATCAGGATATTTTAACTTAATATGGTGATGTTCATCAAAGTACGCAGCAACAGACTGCTTTCTCTCCTCGATCATAAGCTTATCAGCTGGCACAGAAGATATTCCATGCACGGTGAAACGTCTAGAATACACATGTCCTTGAATAGTTTTTTATTAGAGTAAATAAAAAAGCCACATACCATTGTCACTTTTGTAAAACTTATCAGTCTCAACACGTATTCTTCTTAAATCGTTAGCCATTTGTGAGCTACATCTGTACATGTTGTCTCCATACTTTTCGTACATAACATCTGCTAGGTTACCAGCTGTGAAAAAAGCCTTGTAGGTCTTCAAAAACAAGCAAATTAGAAATCTCAAGAAATACCATGTCTATATTCATACGGACCTTCCATTGAGGTCTAATGCTAGCGATAAAACCTCTGTGGATACTCAGTAGCTTATCTGCAACGACTTTCACTGGCTTTTCGTAAAATAAAGCAGATCTTCCAAGAGATATTAACGACTGCTTCGACACAGTTCTTAATATACAATCTAACAATCTTATGGATTCCTAGAAAGGATGATTATAAAACATGAACATTACTTGGGGAATGTTTAACGATGTTGCTTTTGGGTTTTCTACGTATTGTTGTACATCGTCAGTTGACACCGTCTGTACTTCCATCAAGTGATATTTCAGAATAAGATTATCTCGACCAAGTGGATCAACAATTTTCATTTCTGTCTCAGTAGGAACTTTTCCGATCCCTGGCAAACGATCTGCCGAGTATATGTCATGGCCACCATCGTAAATTATACAGTCGTGTAAACTATGTAAACATAGAGAGAGCAACCATATACTGTTGTCGTAAGTAGAAACACCAACAAAATCAAATTGTTACCAGGACCGATAATGAGACTGTCCACTAAGATTTCACAAATTAGTAAGTCAAAGAAAACCATCAATTTCAGAATTAGGCAACGCAGACATCAAAATTCCAAGAACCACCGGGAACAAAGTTTTCAGAAATCTTCCATGAATGTGAATATCAAATTTAAAGAAGAAATCCATAGACAAGTCATAAAGATTTGTCATAGGTTCACCTATAAAACGATACTGGATGATATTCTTCTTATCGGAGAGATTTACTTTTTGTTATTGGTACATGTACGATACCAAACGAAACATGCCTGACTATTATAGTAAAAATGTGTGAAGAGAAAAGTGGAGATAAATTACTTTTTCTGGAAATTCTATATAGACCGAACAGAAAGTACTTAAACACGACAATAGGACCGTTTTATAAGTTTTATACCATCTTAGTATAAACAAGTGACAGAAACACGTAGTTTAAGGATAATGCAATATGTGTTATAAAAAGTAGTTGAACATACTTTTTACATCATGCATAACGGTTCAACGACATCATTGCGATAAACAGGTAAATATTTTGAGCGCAAGTACAGAATATTTATACATATAAACCTACAGTTTAGATATGAAACATGGTGCTCATCAAGAAAATCTTCAAATTTAGTATGGGTATTATCCGTCAAGCAAAAATAGTTTTATTGTCAATCTATATTGATGTGTTTCTTTTAAAATCCTTTATTTTGTTATGAAAATCAATCACAAACAGTCGGTTCAAGTTCAAGTGTTCTTTCATCACGTCATGCAACTGGTAAATCGAAATATTTGAAGTTGTTCACTTGTTCGAATCGGTCATTTTACACAGTAATCGATTATTGACAGTTTTCCTAGAATTTTACAAATATTAGGGTCATTTTCGTCAAATCCGTCTTCGTTTAAACAATGAAAGAATTTAACCTAAAATGGTTGATAGCTCTTAGGCTTTCTCATGTGATTCTTTAGAGTCTAATTCAGGCATACCAATTTTACAAACGAGGAATAGTCATACATAGTTGGGAAATGCCACTCCACTCATTTTAATTAGTCAGCAAGGAAAGTTACAAATACTAGTTGGTAAAAAGAAAAGTTCCACTTCGAAAATGAGTGTATGTGTAAGCTAAAACATTCGTAGGTAATAAGGTTTGAAAGAGTATTAGTCACTCAAGTGTGATGTCCCCAGTCAAATTGTTCTTGCTCAAACAAATAAAATTCAATATACATGACCAGTAAACTACAAAATAAATGAAATGATAATATACCATGAAGTGTATCTGAAAAATGCTTACCTATCAGCCACCTGTTTAATTAGAGCACGTTTATCCTTAGCAGACATTCGTATTTCAGTCCTGTTTCCTTCATCACCACGATATACAGCGAGAGCTTCTGCTCGATACATGTAAACAATTTTGGGCTTTATCGAAAAATCCCAACAATTAACAGTCACATACATTTCTTTGCCCGAATGTCCCCCTCCATCCGGTCGATTAGGTATTGAAAGTCTTTTGATATTCATTCTTAAAATACACAAGATAAGATAACGTGTTTCACGCAAGTAAAAACCGACCATACTTTTTCCAAATAAAACAAATATGGTGAATATTGATAAGAATAACTCACTTAGAGAAATCCTCAGAAAGATGAACACTGAAACGAAAAGTAAGAACCGATCAGAAATAGAAAGCAAGCTTGCGAATTACAACAAAAAGCGATCTACAGCAAACCACAGCACTTACGTTTCTATTACTTTTGGATGCTTCTTTTTCTGTCTCGCGGGTTTGGAAGGTGGACTTGTTAGTTTTGACGTCGAAGGAACATCAATTGCAGAAGATTCATCACCAAACAACGATGAAACAGGAGCCCTGAATAACAGAAAATCGAATCTTAAAACCAATTCAATATATTCAAATCTTATATAAAAAGGTTTGCTAACTAACAAAGCAAAAATCAACATCATACAAATAATTCAACAGATAACGTACATACCTGATCAGAACTGCAACTCGATAGTTGGAGCGTGAAACGTAACTGGACAACAGATAAAATTTTCAAAATAGTCTCCCCATCATTCTGCAAATAATCCAGCACTTTCATCAAAAATATCCAAAACCACAACAATTTCTGCTTAATTTCTGTCAAAAACACCGGAGCAGTTAGCTAAAAATCAAACAGCCCGGATCCCTCTATCACACGTACATATTTATTCACCTACAACAACAATGCTTGCAGTCATTGCATATAAGGTTTTGAAAAATAAACACATAGACCCCTTATATTCTCTTTGTCTAGAAACGAATAAATAATCAGTCAGTGAGCATCTATTTACAACACAGATAGTCAATCAATATACCCTCCCAAAACTCCAATCAAATTATCTTCCTATCAGTTCCAAAGAACCTTCATTAACAGATTAGCACTAATTACAGCCACATAATCAAAAAACATATACTCACACATTTGCCCATTCATATCGGAATACTCAGGGACTTACTCTTGTACATTTGGTTGAATTGAAGATACTTGACGATCTCCACTCTCTTGAGTTTCTTGGGATCTACGGAAGTGATGAACAATATGAAAACGAAAAGGAACATTTACATATAGACGACGGCAAATAAAACGAGCAAAAACAAAGTTTCAAGTCAGCCATGATATACAAGGAAATATATGCTTCTATGGAATACAAAAACTTCAAATATCATTCACATTGATAAGCTCTCTATAATCAAAGTTCTACCTGAAATACATCACCAAATGAATTGAGTCACATACGGAATATCAAGCAATAACATGGTAGTCAAATCAAAATTAATTAGTAGATGATGGTCAATGACTTAAAGACATGCGTCATAAATGTGTTAAACTTATTTACTTCTACAATGGACTGACAATCACAGTCATATAATCATACACCTTGTATGCGTTTCAGGAACACATGCCAACTATTAGTGTGAATATTTGCAATGTGAAAGACAGAAATTTCTTTAGTACTTTCAGTATTTCTGCTTCTCATACTCTATCATTACAAAAATGCAAATAGACATATAGTCAACCTGCGGTTCACATATTCTACGAAACGTGATTAAATATCTTAAATGATCTCCAGGTAAAGGATTTTTGTATTCATGTTGGAATTTCGCTAACCACTAATTCATAAGGACTGACGAGCTTTCCATTAGTTGAAAATAACTTCTTAAAATTAAATACAAGAGTTTGGTTGCACTAAGCCGCATTAAAAACCATGTCATATTTTTAAAGGAAACAGTAACAAGACTTTTTAAGTCTCGATAATCTGGTTCCTGAACAGTAAAAAGTGAGGTACCTCAACTTACTCACTCATTGGCTGCCTCGAAGTTCGAGATTTCTTATTTTTACGCCTACCACCGTGAGAACTCTTAGCCGAACTACTGGAAATGGGACAGTAGATAAGGATTACCGATTAAAATACTGTGGATTCTTATTCAAAATAATTGTAACACGTCAATTAATATTTTAAGAGTTAACATTCAGGATGTCATGCAACTATTTAAGAGAGTTTGAGTAAGACAAAAAAGATTGTAATGCTACTAAAAGTTTCCCAGTCACCCCGTCTTACTCAATGGCTATTAACGTGGATGAGTACTTCTCTTAGAACCATCTTCTGTCAATCCGTACCAGTGGTAAATTCTAATTACACCTGTAACTGTAGTTCTCAATATAACAAATCAAAGAATACATGCTCTCAGGTTGTATCCCGTGAAATTCAAAGTTCACCGACTGATTTCTGCAGTGAAACACTACTTTTCAAAAGCAGACAAAATATGTTCGAAAATACTAATTTCAACGTGAGTTTATTAGAAATTTGGCAATTAAAACCAAAGAAACGTAACTTGATTGAGATCATGAGTCGACCAATGTTAGACCACCACGTGCTCACTAGTGACTAGCTTCGAGCAGAAATTCTCGGAGTTCTAGTGAGAAACCGTGACTAATGGAGCTAACCCGTGTCGGGTATGAGGCAGTTACCCACCAAAGGCAATGGAAGATGGTCGCGCAATATCGTGGATTGGTTGAAACCAGACATTAATACAGTTGGATGCCAGCTCAGTAATCTAGAGATCAAGCGTCCCCATGGTAAACCAAGGATCCTGGGTTCGGATCCCGCGAGTACGATAGTGGATGCACACTGCTGAGAAGTCTCATACTAAGACAAAACGGCCGTTCAGTGCTTCCAGTTTTTCATTGGTGATTTAACGTTGACCGATTCATGGTCTCAATCAAAAACTCAACAATAACTACGACCCCATACTGACAATGTAATTTATTTAATGAGAACAAGTTTACGTATTCAATTTTGAACCAGACTTTTGTGGAGAATACCTAGTTTCGAAACATTCCCATATTGTGATTTAGAACAACATATATATTAGAGTAAAACCTGATGAGGTTCTAATTGAAAACAGTGCTGTTCCCTTATAAATGCTGTTCTAAATAGCTAATTGTAACAACTGTAAAAAAGTAAAAAATCAATGATTACCTACCCTTCCTCCATAATGAATTCGGCGCAAAATCCTGGGAGGTATCGAACTGAATGGTAATCAAATAAATCTCACTGGCAGTTATAATCTACACGACATAAAACACAAACTCAATAATAAGCAAAATACTATGGAAAAAACCACTTCAAATATTTTATACTTTCTTGGCATTGTTAACAAAACACCTTTGAAGATGGCACAGGTATTCAACTTTTACTCAAAGCATGAGACGAAACATAAATGAAAAGTCAAAATATCAGCGATTTTACGAGGATAATATACAGAAATCATGCATAATAGTTGAGGATACGAAATTCAGTTTGCTTTACACTGCAGTCGGTCTGCGCATGGTATATGACTAAACGCAATCACAGATGATCAAAACGCAATTAAGTCATCAGTAAAAAGTTTAGATAGATAATTAGCTTTACAGGTTAGTATCAGCCTCGACCATAACACTGCATAACGCAAATTGAAACGTTTGGTAGGAGTAACGTCTAGTATGAGACTTTCTTATGTATATTCATTTGAGGTCCATGGTTAACACATAAATCGTCCAAAAATCCTGCGAACAAACGCACAAACAGTATACAGATATGTACAGAGAGGAGCATCATCTAAAATACAGAAAATCAGTCAAAGGTTTTCTCCCATCCGATGAAAGTGCGTTGAAGTAAGCATGAAAAAAATCTAGTTCTTGCTAATAAGCGACCAGAAGCTCTCAAACTATATGAGTACGTATTCTAAGGACCTATTCTACCATATTTGCCCATCATTTAAAATGACTTAGTATAGTGACACAGCAAACTTTTGCTGTTGGTATTAACACCAACAGCAGTTTAGAAATTAACTCATCCATCTATTAGTTAACAAACTGAACTTCATACAGTAATCTATCAACCACTAAAGTAAATTAACTAACGTTGGCTAGGTTGTTGAAACAACTTTAGCAATCTAGTCAACTTAAAAGAGATAAAACTATTAAGTGTCGTTTGAGTTCACAAGAAATATCAAAATCACTGCGTAATTTGTAAGACCCACCACTGGAAAGTCGATAACTATGATTTGCTCCAATGATATGCTAATTATGACACGGCGAAGAAACTAACTATTTAATGGTTACGCCTTTCCGACACTAAACATAAGCTTTAGTCCACTCACTGTTCTGACTAAAAGGTTCTGAAATATTTCAGCTAGCAAAGGACGGAAAACACCAATATTCTCATAACTAGCGCTAAATATATTCGATCACAGCTTTGATAATAGCTGACAAAAACAAAGATAAGGTGTCTTTCACACAAACCTACTAATTCGAAAGTGAAATTGTGGTAATATGCTTTCATTCAATACATATAGAGTTTCGGACCTTCCAAACGTCAGTTTATCATTATACACAAGTCTCTCCATATCAGTGACAAAAAAAGCTGTGATAGATGAATAGGTTGTAATGACCTATTTTTATGTAGAGAACGCAATTGGTTTAATGGGAACAATTATTGTTATAACCACTTGTACCAGTGATTGTTTTACTGTCCTTGTTTGTTTAACTGTACTAAAACCATATTTTCTTCCGTTAACCGTGACCCCGCTCGTACTACTATGTACGATATCGGTATTATGTCGATACCACGAGATTGCCAACAAATATATTCTATTACGACAGTCAGTTGCCTTTTGGTCTAGAAAGAGATCAAACTTAATATCTGGCACGTAATCTCCCTGTAGTGGTGATCATAGTCAATCGCGACTCGACGCCTACCACAAAGTGTTACTTACATAGGCGAAAAGTTAAGACATAGCAAAACTATGTGTCTGATATAGATCAGTTTGTTGCTTCCTAAGACATTACTTTAACTGCCCTCACGGTTCAAAGACTCATGGAATAAAACTGAGCCTCAAACTTTGTGACAATCAACGTCACACTGAAGCTAAACCGTCTTATGGTAAACCTAACGGTCTTGATCAACTACGTTATCATTAGATATTGAAGCTGCTATTTTCAATTACCAATCTGCAAACGCAGGAGGTGATAAGCATTTGTCAAATCTGCATGAAAGGACTTTGTGGGAAAATCTTGGTTAATGTTTCTGATTTAAGTGTTTCCTAGACTTTCCTGTTCCATCAGTTTGTATTTATCTACCCTATCTAAGCATTATCCCTCGGCGTCTATGCTCATTAATTGTTGATTACTGTGCAAGGTATCAGCGAATCCGTCATCTCGTACATTATAGCAACAACGACGAGTGGTCGATATCCTACTCCAGCGGTTAATAATAAGCTAGGGATACCAATATATAACAAAAGGTTGAGAAACTCATTAAACCGAGACTAGAGGACGCATCACGTGGTAGTATTTATAGTACCAGTCACACGACTGAAGTAACTTATGTAGGTATATTATTAGGCGATGTGTATCTCGTGACTTCTTTCCTTAGTGCCGCATGTAAGCAACAAAAGAGCAGAGGTGTGACACGCCCCAGAGCTAGACCCTTGAAGGAACCGAATTCTTGGCCGAGAGAAAACGATACAACAGCAATGTCTACAAAACATCCTTTCCTTCTATCACAACGAGCGACTGAGTATTCGGATGCAACTGTTGAGGTAGTTGGACCCACTGTTGTTTTGAAACGGACCCAACCAAGTCCTCATACATAAAGCCGTCGTACGTGTGTCCGAGTGTGGGGAAGGTTCCCCAACCAAACTAATGAAAGTTCAATCCAAGACTTTATTAACAACATCGAAGACATCCATTCTCACCCCTCCCATCACAACACTTATGGGAACTGTATAACTTTGACGATGATAGTCAAGCCGGGAATATCGGCAACAGCTTAAGGAGAACACTAGAGGTCAATTGTCAGTATATCCACCTAAAAGTTTACCAAATGCTTCCTGAACACCGGCGATGGAAATTAAACTGCAATGTATGGATGGCAGGAGAGACAACAGTAACAACAAAGCAATTACAGTGTAGTGGTATTGGATCCTAACCAAACGCGTTGTATTCTATCATCTTTCTACCGTTTGAACCGCTCCCAACATTTTCTACCAAACCCATCATAACCGCTCTTGCTACGCGTACTCTAGTTTATAAATTGGTCGATCGTATTAGTCGCCTAAAAAGACGTTTAACTTAGTATAGCGAATTCACCGCATTAAAATATTATCGTGCTTCACTGGTATAATAACCAAACCATCACGTGGTTGTTAAACAAGCAGCCGTTTAAAATGAAGAATCTAGAGCCTACCATTAGAACTAACATCAGGTGAACAAATATTTCTAAATCGCAACTTAAGATATTATAAGGTAGATCGGATCGGTTTATGCCACGGGCTACTGGTATTTCAGAATCACCTAAAACAATAATACAGAATTCTTATTAGCTTATCTTCAACGAACATGATAAATAGTTATTCATAAAGGTTTCTGGATATTGTCATACAGCAGTATCACTGTGGTGTGTGATACTTATTTCGACAGATATAGGTAGTATGTAACATAAAGTGAAAACCCTGACGGCAGAAGATTGAGATCAAGTTGAAGAGAAAATAGAAGTGGAAATAGAAAGGAATTGTGACTTGGGAGAATCATACAGAATGTGAAGGGAAAATGGTGGAATTTCGGAAACGAAGTATTCAATATATGATCCTCATACTTTGCCAAGAGATTCTGTGATCCGGTACTAAAACACACTGGTCGTCCCCACATTTGTTCTCGTTCGTTGCCGCATGACTTGACGATAGCGTGATACGATTGATAAAACTGATGAAACTATTAACAAACCCGGTCGGAAAACTGGGCGGAGGCATAGTTGTAACAGCTTAGGTTGGTTGGTTAAGAGTTGAACTCAAACAACTAAGCATATGCCAAAACAGTACGGTTCAAGTATTCATTCACTTCCTTATTCTGCATAGGCGTTATATTTCCTATGATCTTATATTGAATGTTGGGAGGCTTTGTTTGTCTGAACAAATAATCCCACGCTCCAGCGTGACTGTGCTAAGATCGAAATAAAGACCTATTCACTATTTGTCTGGTTTCTTCTATCAATAGCACGAGGGTTACCTTAGGGCACGAAACTGGTGAGTCCTTTTGAACACAAAATTTAACTTCATTTCTGTTATTAACATTATTTTTTTTACTCAATCGTAAAAGTAGACCTGATTAACCGTAAACTAAGTTGGGTATATAAATAGTCTATTTTTTATTATCTTAAGTTATTCGTGTTATAGTAACCACTTTTTGTGCTAACTTTATTGCTATATTTGTCACATACCTCATGTCAGACTAAATAGAAACACATAATCTGGAGGATTTGTCACCAGTGGAGATAGACACTGTTATGACTACGAAATCCCGACTTCCAGAATTTGATCGTAGTGATCCTGAGTTGTGGTTTGCTCAATTAGAGCATTATTTCACGAGACACAATATAAAATCTGAAGGGATTCGCTATAGAGATTTATGTTCTGTCCTTCCTCCTTCAGTCACCAAAGAAGTCCGTGACTTGATTTTAAGTCCACCATCACCACAACCATACACCATCTTAAGACAAGAGATAATTAACCGTTTATCATTATCAGACAGTCAAAGAATCCAAAGACTTTTCCAGGGAGAAACACTAGGTGATCGGTCGCCGTCATAGCTTTTACGTCCCCTTCAAGTCTTAGTGGCTGATAACAGTGGGTGAAGCAGTCCTAAAACAAGGATGGACACAAGTTCTCCCAGCACTGTTTGGATGCACAAGATCCTAAAACCTCATTATCTCATTTAGCGCGTATAGCCGATAGAATAATGGAAAGAGGTCCTCCAACTGGATCAGGCAGAATAAATCACATACAAAAAGTATAATCAGCGAAAGACCCAGTCATAGAAGGACTCATTGCGAGCGTTAAGAGTCTCACTGAGGCTGTCACCAGAATGCAAGTGCGTCATAGAAACAGGAGCAGGTCACCACAACGACCACGATCCAAGTCACAAAACAGGTCACAAATGTCCAGACAATCTGGGCAGTTTTGTTGGTACCACTGGAAGTTTGGTGTCAACTCAACCAAGTTCATGTAACAATGCGCCTGGCCTAAGCATAATTCCAAGACAGCAGGAAACGGGTAACCCCTCCCCAGGTCGCGACGACTGAGGAGGGGCGCCTAAACAGTCGCTTGTTTTATGTTAGAGACAGAAACTCTGGATTTCACAAACGCTTTGCAGTGCAGGAACATATTCACTAAAATTGAATTAGTCAGGGCATATCACAATATCCCCGTGGCTGATGAAGATATCTCAAAGACAGCTATTACTACACCCTTTGGCTTATTCGAGTTTGTACGCATGACATTCGGCCTGAGAAATGCGGCACAGACATTTCAAAGATTCATAGATAACCTACTTCGAGATATACCATTTGCACAGGGGTATATAGACGATTTGTTAATTGCCAACCCTGATTTACAATCACACGAACAGCATATACGAGCAGTGTTGGAAAGACTGAATGAACATCGAATGAACACACATCAAAGTGAGTGTGTTTTCGGTGTTCAAACATTAGAATTTTTCGGTCACACAATAAGCCTAGAAGGAATTAAACCAATCAAAAAAGAAATAGACACCATCAAGCAATACGCCATACCTAGTTCTTTAACACAACTGAGGAGTTTTCTAGGTCTAATTAACTTTTATCGCAGATTCATAACAGGTTGTGCACAATTAATGCAACATTTGACAGATTCACTCAAAGGAAAACCAAAAGAATTCAAACTTTCTTCTGACGCCGTCGAAGCTATTAAACAACTTAAAGATAAATTAGCTCAAGCAACTACGTTGATGTATCCGAATTCTCTTTCCCCACTTGCTTTGATGGTGGATGCTTCAGATAAAGTAGTAGGCGGTACCCATTAACCAACTAGTTAAAAACTCCTGGAAACCAATTGCTTTCTTCTCGAAAAGACTCGCCCCAGCTGAGACAAGGTATTCTACCTTCGGGCAAGAACTTCTTGCAATCTACCTGACCATTGAACACTTCCGACACATGTTAGAAGGCAGGTAATCTATAATCTTTACGAATCAAAAACTACTAACGAATGCACTAAAAGCGAGAGCCGATAAACACTCACCTCGAGAAGTCCGACACCTTGACTATATATGACAGTTCACAAGCGATATCCGACATGTCAAAGGTCAGGACAATCAGTCGGCAGATGCTTTATCTAGACTGAAAATGAACGTGCTACAACAGTCTACAGTAA